AAAAGTGACCATCATGGCAATCATACTCTAATACCTGAGTCGAGAATCTCACAAGTGCTCAAGATGCATAAAAAAAAGCTAAGAAATAGAAGTTTCAAAATTACAAGTTCTGGTCCATTCCATACCAATAATATAAGCCATCTCACATTCACTTCAACTGCAACTTAATTTTACTATATACAGAAACCTAATCTATATCTTAAAATAAAATTTACCGCAAGATGCATTGCTACCTCTATCACCTACCAACCGAACACAACTCTATTTCTATTGCCTAGACATCTACTTCCTTTTACACAACGTTCTTTACAAGTTATCTTAAGGCACTGAGATATAGTGACAGGTAATAAAGTCCAGCCTGATCAGCTTAGGTCGAACTCGAACCAATGACCAGACGAAACCAACTATTGAGCTTTTCAAATTTGTCATTCCGCTAAAGAAAACCACAACAAAACCAGCAAAATTCCTAACTTGAAGCAGCATTAATCTCCACTATCAGGAAAGGGGTATATCAACTACTACACAAAAAAAGGAAAAATCAGTTAAAATAAGCTGATAATATATGCTTCTTAAGTTAAAACAACGGAACTAAACAATGCTACAAATCTTGCTTATTTTGGTAAGACTCTACTTTCCAGAGATCAGAGGAACACTATCATACCAAAAATCAAGACAAGCAATAATTAACAAATACAAAGAGGGGAACAAATGATACAAATAAGTACACACTACACACCAAGAAATCTATTCGCTGATATTCTCCGCGGAATTTTCATTGTTGGCATCCTCATCTTCAGTCTCCTCATCATAGTAATCATCATCATCCTCTTCCTTCAACTTTGAAATCTCTGCTTGTGCCCTCTCCAAAATCTGCTTCTTTTGTACCTCCAAGTCCTTCTGAAAATCCATTTTCATCTTCTCCAACTCCTTCATATGTTCCCTCTTACTACTCTCAATCTTATCATATATCTTACCAAACCGCAGCACCGAATTGGCCAACATCCTCATCGAATGCTCATCATGTACTTCGGCTTTCATCCTCGACTCTCCATCAGCCTCTTCTCCATCCTCCTCATCCATCTCTGACTCCGCTGGACTATCCCTCATCTCATCAAAACCATTAGACCTATCCAAATAAACATGTGGATTCATAAACACAAACTCCCCAGAATCTACTCCACAAGCCAACCAGATTCTTGTTGCCCAAACGAAGATGAACCCAGCCCCATTAACATCTCCATTTTCCTAAAAAAGGCCCATTTACTCGAATTCAATCCCATTCTCTCTGCTTTCGTTTTCTCTTTCTTAAACTTCCTCTTCAACCCATCGATTATACGCTTACACTGGGCTTCATTTTTCACACTCTTCAAAGCATCACTAACTTTCTCAGCTACATCAGCCCAATCTGCACCCCTCAAGCTCCTCCTCCCCAATTGCAAAAACCTATTCCCCCAAACTTCTAACAGAACATATATCTCTTGCTGAGTCCAATCATATTCACGTTTCAAGCTATCTCTATGGTCGGGTCTTGAATGGAAACTGGGGACCGAAGTTCTCAGCTTTTGCCGCTTTGGGTACCTTTCAAAATGCTCGCCATCTTTGACGCGGCGGTAGTTAACATCTGGGTCATTGTCGTAATCGGTATCTTGTTCCTTTTCTTCGTCATCGTCGAGCTCTTCGTCTGGTCCGTAACTGTATACATGACGAGTTCTGGTCGAACGAGGGTATTGAGGATGGCGATTAAACGAGCAGGGTTCAATACCATCCATCACCCTTTTCTTACGGTTTGGTTTTGGGAAGTTTAGTGATTGGTTTGGTTGAAAAGAATTGAAATTGGAGATCAGCGAAGAAAGAAAACTAAGGATACGTGACTCGTGAGAATAACAAAACTTTCAATTGAAAATTCTAGGGTTTGGAAGCTTTGAAGATTGATGACGAGGGTCGAGTGGACCCGAATTTGGGCATTTCGGATATTTGAGTTTGGGCCTTACTTGGGTTAAAAGAGCTAACCCTGCACTTCCATGTTCTGCAAGTAAAATCTAATTAAGTTGATTTAATCATGAAAATCAGCAGTTCATATTTACTTAATTTAAATTCCAAAAAAACTGAATAAGAAAAAATAAAAATAATAATAAGTTTAAATAAATAATTCAATTGATAAATTTTAATTGATCAATTTAAAATAAACAGGATCAAATCAATATTCAAAATCACTTGATAAAGATCTAATATTACATAAAAATTTGAAAACTATCCAACTAAAACATCCTAATATTCTATAGATCAATAAAAAAGCTTGAACGTATGTAATTGCCTAATCAATTTATTTATGATTTAGCTCATTTTTAAATTTGGATGAACTCATTTTAGCAATTTGAATTCTAATTATGACTTAAATTATTGATTTTTTTTTCACCAAATAAAATAAAATTAATTTGATTATGTGATTGCAGTTGGCTGCTGCGATCCATTGTTGCATATATAGCACTGGTGCTTTGCCTGCTCTAAATGCTCTTTTGAGACCAAAACATATGCATTTTGCACCCATATTTGGTGCTTGTCGTGTCTTTCGCCCACATTTCTTAAATGCTTCCACGTGAAAATTATTTGTAATTCCAGCTTTGGTGTCTTGCTTGACCGTATGTCACATGACTACCGCGTGCTTAACATGCTTTACCGATCACCCATTTATACCATTCACTTTACTTTTTTTTAGTTACTGATTTTTAAATATTCCTCTATTTACACACTAAAAAGGAACGTTCATCACTGACATGGACCAATCTGGTCCCATTAATCTTGTACAAAATATTTTCTTTATAAATAAGGGTTAATTATTAAAATATGAATATCATGTTAATTAAGTCTTTTCGTGAGTCTAATCATTAATTTTAATATTAAAAAATATCTTGAAAGTGATGTGAAATATATTTGAAATAGATGAATTAAATTTTAATTACATATGTATTAGTTATTGCATGTAAATCTTGAATCCTAAATTTTAATAATATTATATTTGACATGTTTGAGGTAAATTGTTCATAGATAAGTGAATGCATGGAGAAATTATTAGATGGATCTGATTCATTATATAACTCATGGTTTTAATTAATAAGATTTATCTATCTAAAAATAAATTCTAAATAATTATTCATTCCTTATTTATGTACAAAAAAAAAAGGTAAAGACTCACTTTGAAAAAAATGAAATGGATAGATCCTATTACTTAAGACCATGGATGATGTGGTAAATATGAACCATCTAATAATTTTTCGCATCGTATGATAATTTGACGACTCAAATTTAAATATTTTGAAGTTTAAAGATTAATTTAAAATCTGATTCGTGATTTGAGGAATTTTGTGCAATTAACCCTACATTTAATATAGGTACATTAAAGTCATATGTTACAAAATATAATTAAATCATCCAATAATCTATTCTCTTCTGACTTGAGAGGACACCAATAATTTAAGATAAAATAACCTCAGTGACCGAAAATGACTTATAATATACGATTTTGATTAATTTTTTTTAATTTGTCAAAATGACCAACAAAATCGCAATGCGATCTCTAAATCGCAACGCGATCTTCAGTATCGCAAATCAGTTTCCAGATTCGTAACGCGATTTTCCAAATTCACAACGCGATTTTAGAAAATCGCAATGCGAATATGTAAATCGCAACGCGATTCTGACTATCGCAACACGATCTCCAATATCGCAAATCAGTTTCCAGATTCGTTACGCGATTTTGACTATCGCATTGCGATTTTCCAAATTTACGTTAGTCCAAATTCGTTGCGATTTCTTAAGAATTTTCTCTAAAAAGATATTATCCACGCGGACTTGTCGAAGACACGTATTACCACGACCACGACCACGACCACGACCCGAGACGGAACGGGACGGCGGCGGCGGCGGTGCGCGAGAGTCCCCCTTGTTCTCTTCCACTCAACAAGGAAGTGAGAAATCCAAGCCTTAAATACCCATTTCCAATAGTGTTTCCAATACTATGTGGGATTGAGCATTGCAAACACTTGGGAATCTTTTACACTATCGTAACACATTCTTTATTGTTTCAAACTAAGATCTTACAAATGGCTTGAGAATCTTTTACACTATCGCAACACATTCTTTATTGTTTCAAACTCCACGTGAATTTGGAATAGTTAGAATGTAAACTTATTTTGGATTTTTCACTATCGCAACACTTTTTCACTATCGCAGCAACACATTTTTCAAAATCGCGTTGCACATCTTACAATCGCGTTACGAATTTGGAAACTGAGTTGAAAAATTAGAGTTCGCGTTACGATTTTGTTGGTCATTTTGACAAATCCAAAAAAAAATGTCAAAATCGTATATTATAAGGCATTTTTTACCAACAAATTTCAATTCTCACCTTATTCCTTTTGAATTATTAATCTCCACTCCGTCACATATCCTAAGACAATGATGTAATATGAAATATAAGATGCACCAATTCTTCTATAAATGATTATAGAAAACTTAAAATTGATTCTTTAGTGCATGCTTAAGGTCATGCGCCATGATCATACACCAAATGTACATATACACCCAACTAAAGATGTTTTTAAGTCTTTAAAAGTCTATTGAATCGAGTAATAAATAATTTAATATCTATAAATAAGGTCTAATCCAATTTGACTGTAGACTTCATCGAGAACCGATATTAGAAGGAAGGATGGTTACATAGTGTTTTGGCTATAAATGTTAGGTATCATCACATTCCGTGGCCATGGCCACATGCAAGCTTGGTTCAGCTTCTCCTCAGCGATCTCTTGCACGACTAACTATAATCCCTTTTTAATTGCTTTACTTCCCATATCTCACATGAAATTTGCTTTATCCTGCCCTCCGCTACTATAACCAAAAGTTTTAATGTGGACGCTTATTGTCTTTAGAAGTAGCTCATCACATTCCATATGTCTGCTTGGCGGTGATTTTGCTTTTGCTTGGTTAATAGGTTTTCGGTATTATAGCTTTTGCTTTTCCCAAGAAACTCTGACCTTTTGGCTCCCTTCCTTCTCTGTCTCCCTACAGATATTATTATTATTACTTGATTTGATTTTCTTCCTTTAAGATTTGACATTTTGGTTCATGTACGCATGTTTGAATTACCAGAGTGAGTGGAAAAAAAAAAGCAATGGGAAAACTCAGTTTTGGTAAGATGCTAGATTGTTTATATCTGTCTTCAATCTCAGGCTCATCATGTTCTTGTTTCTGCATGAACACTTTAGATGATGAGTTTGAGAAGAAGCCACTGATAACATCTGAAAAGCCCCAGTTGCTGAGATTGAAAGATGTTTTTTCTGGCAATCAGACCTTGGCCTTTCAACTTAAGCCTAAGGTAAGGTTTTCCCTTCTTTTTTTATGCCTGTAATGTGTTCTGTATATGCTCACTTATAGAAACATATACTTAATGAAAACACCCCATTTGTTTTGGTCTTTGCAGATGGTGGAACTAAGGGTTTCCATGCATTGCCATGGCTGTGCAAGGAAAGTAGAGAAACACATTTCCAAACTTGACGGTAAGATATTTCATTCAAAACCATCTTAGCCTTTCATTTTTCATTTCCCTGATAAAGGATCAAAAGGGCTTTATCACCATTTCTCTCTCCTTGGTGGAGAGAAGAGGTTGAACCTAACTCTTTGCTGTCAGTCACTGCCACCACCAACTTACCTTTATCTAGTTGAACATCCACCATACATTTTTAAATTGGGTTTATGTTAGATGTTTAACAATGTCAGACTTCAGTAAGCCTAAAAAGACCAGAAGGTAATAGCAATATAATGACCAAAATGCATCACTCATCCAAACATATTATAATGCAACGTGATTGTGTTGCACTATAGCTTGTCTGTTTTTATGACAATAATGTAATTCCTAGCTGTCCCATGAAAAAACAGGAGTGACCTCGTACAAGGTAGACCTGGAAAGCAAAAGGGTAGTTGTTATTGGTGATATACTCCCTTCTGAAGTGCTCGAGAGCGTCTCAAAGGTTAAAAGTACAGAGCTTTGGACCTCCTGAAGAACACAAAAAAAAAAAAAAATTCGTAGCATTGTACGTATCATTTTATAACATATTTTAAACATATCATCATATTTTATGTTTTTAGACATGGGAAAGCTCTTGTTGGTCAGGTTTTATGTTGCTAACTGTGTTTTGTTAGCAGTAAAAAACAATGATGCATTGAACATCATGGTCTTGCGGAAGTGGTGATCGATATATATACCTCTAAGATACCGTGTGATTTTAATGTGATTTTGTCCGACATGACATGTGGTTTTTAAGAGTTTGATCGTTTAGTGCAAGAACTGACCAGGACCCATTGGAGGGCAAGATTCAATCAATCATAAACTTAAATTATTGTATGCATAAGATAAGATGTGGCTTGGATTATAAGTAACTTGCCCATCTAGTCATGGAAACGAAATGGAAATCTTGAGGTTATGCTTTTTCACATCTCAGATGCTTCCTTCACCTTTTTTGTCATAATGTTTTAAACATTCGAGTTTTCATTTCACTGATTGTTGATGGGTTAATATGTATTTTGATACTTGAAATTGGCTTCAAGGTTCAATTTGGCACTTAAGTTTTTTTATATCTAATTAGGTACTTTAACTTGGCTTAAAGGTTCAATTTGGTACCTAAACTTTTTGTTTGTCTACTTTTGTACTTGAACGTGGCCTTTTGGTTTAAATTTGTAACATGAATTTTACTTAGGGTCTGATTGATAGATTGTAATTGATTTTCTGAAAAATAATTTACAGATTAGCTTAAAACTGTTTTACTTAAAATGAATTACAAATTACATTTTATGAAAAATAGTTTTAAAAAAATATTTTACGGTGTTTTGATGATTTTGTGTAAACCATTTTCACTAATTGGTTTATACACTATAATTAATTTTATAGAAAATGATTTACACAAAGTGAATAAGTTTTGGTTCGGTTAATATTTAAAAAAATTGATTCGATTAACTATTAAAGAAAAAAAGTTAAGTTAATTTGGTTGGTAATTCAATTCAATATGTGACTGAATTAATCACTTTAACACTCTTAATTTTAGTTATTAGTATTTTATTAATATAATACTAAATTATTAAACTTTTATATTAATATAACATATATGAGTACATATTAATATAATATTAAAATATAATATTATTAAAACTATATTATAATAATATTAAATATTTTAATAATTAATATTTTATTAAAATGATACTAAAATATTAAATAAATAAAACAATATATTTTTGAGTGCTACTTTGAAGTGAAAAGTTAGGAAAATGTTTTACGAAAAATCATATGGTAAAACATTTTACATAAAATACAAAGGAACTAGGAAAATGAATTAAATTAGACAAATCAATTACAACTATCAAACATTGGAAAATGTTTTCCGTAAAACAAATTACAACTATCAAACATCGGAAAGCATTTTCCGGAAAATGTTTTCTAGCTATCAAACACACCCTTAATTTAAATTGGTTAAATCGTAAGTATCAATTTGAATAAAAAATAAAGTTTAGGTACCAATTTAAATAAAAAATTCAATTTCAAGTACGTGATTTGATAAAAAAATGTAGGTGCTGAATTGAATTTCGAAGCCGAGTTCATGTACCTACTTGAATGGGAAAAAAAAGCTAAAGTGCCAAACTAAACATTGAAACCAAGTTCAAGTATCAATATATATTTACCCATTGTTCTATATAAGACGGAAATGAGATATAGAAATGGCATAACAATAAATTTGACCCTCACGTTTTACACTATTTTTCAATTTGGTCGTTATTTGTTTTGAACTAAATTTGATCCTCAACCTTTCAAAGTGTCTAATTTAACCCTAAACCTTTTAAAAATAGTGGAATTGCTAATTTATTCATGTATACTTCATGTAATTTTTAATTAATTATTTTTTTAAATGATACATATAATTTTTACTTTATAATATTATTTTACTAGTAAATTATTTATTAACTTAAAATATATGATTAAAATAAAAATAAGTGCTCAAAATATGCATCGAAAAACACTTTAATGCTTAAAGAATTTTTCGTTAAAAATAAGTGTCTAATGTTTTCTCAGTTTTATTTTTAGGTGTCTACCATTATGTTTTTAAAAAAAATTTAATAATAAAAATATTATTTTAGAAAAATAAAAGGGAAAAATAAAAAAAACTTAAATTACTTATAAAACCCCCCAATTTTCACTAAAAAAACCTAAAGAATTAAAATTTCTCATTTCAACTAATTATCAATTGTCGTCGACTATCTCTGGCCATCATCGTCATCCTTGAATGATTGAGTTTTGATCGGAATTGCACGGTAGTTCAAATGGTGATGGCGGTGTGACTTATGGACGTCGAAATCGACAAAGAACAACGATGGTGGCTTAAAATCCAACAAACCTTTGAATGTTTCTCTACGAAAAATGATGGTAGATTATGACAAAAGACCAATGTGGGTTTGATTGGGGTTGACGTCGGTGCTGATGACGACGACAATGATGGTCACAACTAACTAACAATGACTACGGAAAGGGAAATGGAGAGGGAAGGCAAGAGATGTTGTTTGGTTTTTAAAAAAAAAAATATTTTTAAATTTTTTTAAATAAATTCTTAAAATTACCAGAAAGTGACACATATTACTTAACAGAGATTTTTAATGGAGAATTTTTAATAGCGGTTAATATTCAGTCACCTAAAAAATGTAATTTTAGAAATATTAGACACATATTTTTAATAAAAAATTATTTAGACACTATATCATTTTTCGAAATTTGGCAACTTATTTTTGCGTTAAGCCTAAAATATAAGTTAAACAATACCATATCACGTAGATGATGCATACAAGAATTTGTGTGGGTTCGAAAGCAGTACGTAATTGAATTGAATACTATAATACAGCCTGGAAATTATAGGCCTATTAGACCCAAATATCATGGAACTGTATTAGGCGATCTTCAAGGTGAACGGAACGGGAAATAAGATTCTTCCAAATTATCTGGCTCTTACTCGGTTGTTGAACTCACCAATCACTGAAGCAAAGTCAAAAAACCAGGGAAAGCATGAAATGCTTTTCGGTCTCTAAACTCGCCCCGAAACATTGGTGGTTGCCGCTATCCGTGTTCCCAAACTACCCCGAAACATTGGTGGTTGCCGCTATTGCTCGATTTTCAAGTCTCGCTCCTCGTTCACCCGGCCTCTCTATTTGCAGCGACGCCTCGAGGTCGTCGATCGGAAGCGTTTCTTTTTCTAGTCGTCAGCGGAACTTGTCCACCATGGCTGGCGCTGAAGAGTTTGTTAAAGGATATGTTCATCCAAACGGCGTCGCGGTCATTACTCTTGATCGTCCCAAAGCTCTCAACGCTATGAATTTAGGTGCTTTTTGTAATTTAAATTGTCTCTTCTTTATTATTTAAGCTTAATTCATTCATATACGAGCTAAAAGATTAACTTTGATCGGAGGAAAGCCAATTCGAAGTGAATGATATGTTCTAGCTCGATTTTCAATTACAAATATTTGCTTTGATATATAAAGGATAAAGTTTGATGTAGGGATAAAGCTTTCAAAAAATATTTAAGACCGAGTAAGAAAGCAACACAATATTCAATAATTTGCTGGCACTTATACCGAAGAGGAGTATACTTAAAAAGTATGAAATGATTCTGCAAGAGGTTAAAAAAAGAATCTTTTTTGTTTACTAATATTTAGATATTATTGAGAATTAACGGCAAAATTTGCTAGATTAAGTGCGTCATGCATTTTCTTTGGTTTCGATATGAACTACTAGTTCACAGATTAGTTTGTATATTATGATTATTGCAGATATGGATATCAAACACAAGCAAATTCTTGATGAATGGGAATCGGATCCAAAGGTCAAATGTGTTCTGATCGAGGGCAGCACACCACGTGCCTTCTGTGCAGGTACTTTGAAGAGAAAAATCAAGGATTCCTCTTTGGCCGGGCAAAAATACATGTACAATAGCATTTCTAGAAGCTGTTTGTAATGGCGAATGGCATTGATATCCTTGTAGGCTATTTTTCATGTTGCTAATGTTCGGGTAGTTTTTCGAGCTAAATAGCTAATCATTGATGGTTAATGCAGGAATGGATATTAAAGGTGTTGCTGCTGAAATCCAAAAGGATAGAAACACCCCTTGTGCCAAAGGTTTCATTTCCCTTAATTGTGTAAATGCATGCATTGTGCAACAAATGTTTCTTGTTAGCTTGCAGTTAAATATTTTTCCAGTTCTTGTTAAATTGCCTTTTGCAAGCTAAAGTTGTTTGCCATATTCTTCTTCCTATTTTTCCTTTTTCCTTAGGGCGGGATGAGGTTATCCTTTTTCTTCTAGTTTATCTTTAACTTTTGGGTTCAATGTACTGTTCTTCTCTCATTGATAGCTTAGATTTAGCTTATGTGCCTGTGGTGATGTGAAGCAGGTTACAGAGAAAAACAAACTCTCAGATATGATTGAGGTTAACTACATACCATTATATCACAAATATCTCCAATTTGCTAAAATTTGGTCAGCAAAAAATGTCTATCACCTTTTCCAACTCAAAATACAAGTTTTACCGTGGCTATGATTTTGCCTAACAGTGTCTGCAAAGTATAGGAACGCTTCACGAGAGTTTGAAACTTAAGTAATTCTATGCAACTTGGACATCTCAAGCATCCATGAGTCTGGGTTTATGAAGCTCTATGTAAATCCAGGTGGATAATTCGGGGGGGGGGGATAGTTCGGATTGAATAATTTCAAGTGATATGAATCTCAAGTGTCCTTTGACTGTAAATGTAATACAACTTGAATAACATAATTTGTCCTCAATTTGCAGCCGGTTGAAATTAGCTTTTGCTCACATCCATAGGAGCGTAATTTAAAATTCAACTGTTGGCACTTTTGCTTGCAGTTTTAACTCTTTGAAGTGTTTAATGTTGTAAACATATTGAGGTTGTAAATGATCTGTTGTTACATGTCCAAGATGTAGCCCGCTAACATGATAGGATGGAAGCATGTTAACTCTGCTCAATTGAGTGCTCTGTACCAGCAATGAATATAGCATATAGTTTGCTTGATTTCCTCATATGTGCATTATGTGCTTGTAGGATTAGATATCATTTCTAACTGTCGACTTGTCTGTTATACTTGTTGTTTCTCATCGCTGTAATGTTGTTCCATCACTTTTGTGTTTTTCATATTACCCTTTTATCTGAAGTAAATTACCTAATTATGCTGTATTGTTTTTCCAGGTTTTTACAGCAGAGTATTCTCTAGTATGCAAAATTTCTGAGTACAAGAAGCCTTATATATCATTCATGGATGGCATAACAATGGGCTTTGGAGTTGGCCTATCTGGTCATGGTCGCTACAGAGTGGTAACTGAGGTACAATCTGATCTTTCTTCTGGCCAGAAATATTTGATCTTGCATTTTAAATTATCATAGCTTTACTAATTTTCTCTCTAATGTTTTCTTCTTGCACAAATCTGTGGGTCAGAGGACTGTTCTAGCCATGCCAGAAAATGCAATTGGGTTGTTTCCCGATGTTGGGTTTTCATATATAGCAGCAAAAACTCCTGGAGGGGGTTCCGTTGGTATGGTTCTTTTACTCTAAAACTAAGCTCTAGGAGCTGCACCAAAAGCAGTTTGTAATAGAATGCTATAGATTAAACCAGTAGTACTGGGTTTGACGTGGGAGGGTCGTGCTTATTTTGAACCTTGTCTTTTTAAAACTTTTTGGAGATGCTGAATGCTTAAAGTTGAACTTATGTTGTTATAAACTTGCACAAATACCGTTCACTTCTCTTGCTCTTTTCAGCTCGCTCAATGTTGGACCCCTCTACTGTTTCCATTTACAATTATGGAGTTCTGCAGGTACATATCTTGGAATGACCGGGAGAAGGATATCAACACCTTCAGATGCACTATATGTAGGTCTTGGAACACACTATGTGCCATCTGGGAATCTGGGTTCACTGAAGGAAGCGCTTCTATCCAGTACCTTGTATATCTCTGATCTTGTTTAAATTTGATGGTTTTCTGTTTTAGTGGAAATGAAATATATTTCGGATCTTACGGAAACTTACAAATGTTTCTAAATGAGGAACTTTTTTGATTTTACATTCCAAACCAAATCAGCTTCATGTTTAAGTGTTAAATCTTGAGGACCAATGTTGTTTGATGTCTCCATGTTGGGCTGGAATCTGTAAAATATGAACTTTAACACTTGTTCTTGGTTTTATTGTAATTTCATCTTGTATTTTGCAGTAGGATTGTGAATTATATGTTCGAAAAACTGGAGATGCAGTGGTTTTATTAGCAACATAAGTATTTTTGGGTTCCTTCCCTCAAAATCATAAATGATTTATTTATTTTCACACAGTTCGGAGGATCCAGACAAGGATCTTACAACATTGTTGGCAAAGTACAGCAGTAATCCTGAGTCCGAAGCTGACTTGAAGCTGCTTTTGCCTCAGATAAGTTCATGCTTCAGTGCAGGCAAATCGGTTAGTGAGACAATCGAAGAGCTTAAGAAACATCGGCAAAGCACAGAAGCATCGGGTAAGCTTACCTAAATTTGATTAATCCAAGCAGTAAATTGAACTGCAAATGCATCATTATTGTGCTCTTGTGGATGTTGAGTACGACACGGAAAACGGCAATATTGATATGTTTAACGGTGTCTTTCTGCAGTGGCAGAGTGGGCTAATGATGCTCTACAGGGTCTCGGAAAGGGTGCTCCCTTTTCTCTTTGCTTAACCAAAAGTTATTTCTCTAAAGTTGCATCTGGATATGGTAAACATGGCAATGAATTTACAGCGGTGAGTCTGGAGATGTATAATTCAACTGCCTTTTGCTCCATCTCTCAATTCCCAAGTAAATTTCTTGTGCAGTAGCCATACTTTCTAGTAACACCTCATATGTGTTGGATTGATCATTTCCAGCTAAAAGGTGTTATGAAAACCGAATATCGCATTGCCTTACGGTCTTCTTTGCGGGATGATTTCGTGGAAGGCGTCCGTGCAGTCTTGGTTGACAAAGATCAGGTTGGCTCTTCCTGCCTCTGCTCTATTTTCTCCCCAAGATAAATCTGTCGCTTTCCAGGGTTATACTTAAGAAAGCATGCTAACATCTGTTAATATTCCCCTCTTTATTCTTCCACTAAATCTTGATAATTGCCAGATATATCGACTTTGTTTATTTAGAATGTGCATGTTCATGCATTTGTGGTGTGTATTGTGTGTGGTTGTGCATGCTCTAATACGCTCCTTGCCGCTGTACGCATCCTCGTTTATCCATAATTCCGACTCCTCTTCATGTCTTTGCAGAATCCAAAGTGGAACCCCCCAAGTTTGAAGGAAGTTGACCCGAAGGAAGTGGAGGCAGTTTTTGAAGCATTAGGTGCAGGAGCCGAAGAGTTGCAAGTGTAAGGTTAACATATCAACTTGTGCTTTGAAAATAACTAAAAGGTTATTGAGAATCCTAAGTGTGTTGGGTTTTAGCATCAAGTAGTGGTAATATGGGTTGGATGGACACTTAATAAGACCCTGATCGTAAACCACAACCAATGATTCGTTATCTCTAGGCGGCCAGGCCAATTCAGTGTTGAAAAGCGGAAAAAATAAATGAGTAATAAAAATTCAAATTTATATTCACTGGCCTATTTAGCTAAGGACATGTTGGATATAGACACAATTGCAACGTGTTTAGACTGTATCTGTAATTATACCTTTAATTTTATAATTAATATCATTTTACATATAATCACACTTTCTCAATGAAAAGTTATAAAATTCATTTCACGTGCAATTTTTAAGGGGAAATGATCACGTGCGTCGTCTTAACATACGGCTAAAAAAAGCATTATCATTTATCAATATCCTCGAGTTAAGCACTAAAACTCTTTGTTGGTGACAAGAGTTCTGCATATGACATATTACTACTACCTAGAAATCTTACTGAGCTGTTAATTTATCAGCTTACGGTACGAATTAGAATCATTGGACTCACCTTCACAAAAGTTTAAATTGAGTAAAAGGGGTTGATATCAACAGATTGTATTTCAAGTATGACTGATATCCTTTGTATGTACAACCTTTTGCATTTAGATTTCTTCTTTCCTTTTCCCTCTTCTCATTTTTCTCCAACATTGCTGATCTGATTCAATAGCAGAAGGTAACTGGGAAAGGAATGTACTCGGAAGAGCGATTACGTACTTGGGTAATACCATTAACAAAAACGAAGAACCCTTATTTCTTCAACAAAACCGTGCATTTGCAAAGCGGACAGAGCGCTTTCATCTTGAGCCATTTATCTACACAGCTTTTATGGAAGACATGAGAGCAAGGGAGCTCCTTCAGCACATCATTGTCCGTGTAATTTGTCAAACAAATGCAGCAAACCTGCATATTGACGATACAGATTTAGCGGACCGACAGTTTCCGGTTGATAACAAAAAAGTGTAAAGCATGTAATTATAAAGCTTCCTCGAGCATTAAGTAGAAGTAATTATTCTTATGAGCAAGGCATTGCATTCCGGAACCTACAGCATCATCCCACGGAATAGCACAGTCCTTCTCGGCTCCTGCTGCTACAGCCCCTCCTTTAACTTCAGAATTAATTTTCTTTATGCTGCCACTACCATCTTTCTGCAACTTGAAAGTGTACGTTGGCAGAGAATCAATGCATTCTGAAGGGGCTCCTCTAATTAGACCAAGGTCCCCACAGCAGAAGGCCAAAACCGCAACCAGGATGAAGGGAATAATAAAATTGAGATAGCTGAAGACGAGAAACATTATGCATAACCTGCAATGGAGCCAAAGAAACCGGTTGATTTCCAGATAAGAGAAAAGCCAACGGGTAGTATAATACTTATACAGGCAGTGTTGACACCTGTGCAAATTTGAAGCCCCTGAAGAAGAGTAACCTCCAAATAGCCAAAAATTTCCAATAACAAACCACACAAAAAAGTAAGCTTTTAGAACCCATTTGAAGTGCTCCAATAACCTGCTAAGCCTGCCAAGTTACCATGCAAAAAATGCATCGGCAATTGCATATAACTGATTTAAGTTATGCATAAAACACTCAGAACGCAAATGTTACGACAAAACCAAAAGGTGCTCATAAAAATCCAAATATAATAAATACTGTCTGAGGCTTAAATTTACACCAGAATAATGTGTTCAACTCTTTCTTAAACATGAGCACAGCAAAAAGTGGATTTTCTTTAATCTCTATCCTATTTCAGTAACATAGCAGTAACTGTGAAAATCATCCGAAGAAAATACAACACTGTACAGAAAAGAGCACCCCTCATTGAAAATACACAATGTAAAACATAAAACATGTTCACACGGATCAAAAGCAATTTTCTTCTGATATTAGACATTCATAAACAGAATATACTCAGAACCGCACTTTGCAATATGAAAACCTGACTGGTTCCAAGAACAAGAACCAAACTTCAAGTTAAAGTCTAATGATCAAGAACTGAGACATGTAAAGGAGATCATGCAACATGATTCAGAAACCTCAAGTTCAAGAACAGGAGTCCACGGTAAAAGAAGAAAGTTAAACAATCTCGAGGCTTGGTAACTTCTATAGGAGGCAACGGCAAAATTTCCAAAACTCTCAATTTCCGTTCTTCTAACCTAGCTAGCATCCAGCATGTATGGAGAGGGAATGGAATACACAACAGGCAAAGTAGATGAAGATCTATAATTCATGCAAATGATTCCACACCAAGAAGAATATTACACTGAGAAACCATCTTAAAGTACAAACTGCCAAATTATGAACATTAGGCATTAAGATTAACATTGAAAACTGTCGGAAAAAAGGTGAGCGCTTACGTAGGATACGGGAGAAAACAATGCTGGAAGAGGATGGGAATACTAGCAGCACACCCGGCGGCGTAACCCACAATCCAAGTGGGCAATGGAGCTTGCGGCTTCTCATTCCTGGAAACTGCAAGAACAGCTACTGATGCAACAATCTGACTTATATTGAAAACTAGCCTGATATAAATCCAAAAGCAAAAAGATGAGATAAAACTCCCATGACTTGATCCACCAGTAGGAGGTTGCTGAATCACAGGTTCTTGAGAATTTCTTGATTCAACATTATTCCCAAGTTGGCCATCATTTGGTATATCAAGAACATGATCATTTCTCTCATGGAGGTTCTCAGGCGTCTGGTCCATTTGATTATTTTTTAGTCGATTGCTTTTTCAATTACGGCAGGAGAAGCAGGCATAGAACTTCCCAGGCATAAGGTGAAAGCCTTTAGGTTAGTTACATCATATCAGCTGTCAATATCTTTAGCAAACCAACAAAATTCTGTCCTCGGTTTAGCCTCCAATATCTGTTGCATATATACAATTCATAAGCACACAAAACAACCAATGCTCCAAAACAAGGAATTTTTTTTCATAGAAAATACATAATAATTTAAAAAAGAAATATAAATTATACATCTTTTTCTTCCTTCCCTCGAATTTATCAGCAATTCATCCTTAGATTGGAAAAACTGCCAGAAATAAAAAACAAGATAATCTTCAATTCTAGTTACAAAAATCAAATGAATGCAAAAAAAAAGGTTATCTTTCATTTGTTTTCCCAGCAACCAAACATGTTTCCAATTTCTCAGGACTGAAGAAAAACAAAAACTCTTAAACTGAAGATGGTGATCACAAGTTCAAGACTTGTTGGCTTGTTGCATATTTTCTTTTCATTTTCCCAGTTTTGTCAGCATCCAAACATGAGGCAACAGCTTACATGGAAGTAAAAATTTTAAGTTTAAACCGAGGAGGAATTAAGGAGTTACTCAGCACCAGAATTAAGGAAAATAATAGTAAATTTACTTGTATAAAATTTAACCCAAACTAAAAGGGCTTACAGTATCTAAATTGGGTTTTTTGCCACTTGACCCTCCGCTGTTTAAAAATTGACTCTCCCTTGTTCTCATATGTAATGGTGTAAGGGAGATGTTGACGAAAACAGGTAAAGAAAACGAAAGAACACGAGAATTTTACGAGGTTCGGCAATGTGCTTACGTCCTCGGTGCCTAGGCGACGCTAGAATTTTATTCAATAATATTTTAGGTCTAGGTTATATCTCTATTTATAATAGAAAACCCTGGTACATAATTACAAAATCAACCCTGTACCGTACCGCGGGGGCTACGCCCCCGCACCCCCAACCCACATAATTTGTAACTCCACAACGAGACTTTCTTTGTAAGGACAGTTGATGTTCGCTCACTCCGTTCCATCTCCTGTCTTCTTTACTGGTATATTTATGAGCCATACCTAACAAATCTCCACCTTGCCGAATATCCTGCCCCTTGGAAACTTCAATGTGGGTTGGGTTACCTTGCTTCTTTAACAACTCGAAACATTCAACAAGTCCAAGCAATGCTTGAACTTGTCTGTCGTAACTGGCTTGGTGAACATATCAGCGGCATTCTCATCAGTATGTACCTTCTGAAACAAAACCTCTCCAGATGCAACCAACTCTCTGATCTTGTGGAACCTTACATCAATATGTTTAGTTCTAGCACGATACACCTGATTCTTAGCCAAGTGAATAGCACTTTGATTATCACAAAGCAACTGAACTCCACCTTGTTGAACACCCAACTCCTTCACTAAACCAGTAAGCCATAAAGCTTCTTTTGCAGCTTCAGCCGCTGCCATGTATTCAGCTTCAGTTGTAGATAGTGCCACGACAGATTGAACAGTAGACTTCCAGCAAATAGTCCCTCCACCAAGAGTAAACACATACCCTGTCGTAGATCTTCTATTATCCAAGTCACCTGCATAATCTGAATCCACATATCCTACAACCAAAGGATTATCCCGTTGACTCCCAAAAACAATTCCATGTCCCACAGTACCCTTTAAGTACCGAAAGATCCACTTGACTGCATCCCAATGTTGCTCACCAGGTTTAGACATGTACTTACAAACTTGACTAACAGCATGAGCTAAATCAGGACGAGTACATACCATCGCATACATCAAGCAGCCAACAACATTAGAATACGGAACCTTTGCTATATTTTCAGCTTCCTTATCTGTCTTAGGGCACTGTTTTGATGAGAGCTTAAAGTGATTCGCCAATGGAGTGCTAACTGGTTTCGCGCTGCTCATCGCAAACCTTTCTAGCATTTTCTCAACATAACCCCGTTGAGATATCCACAGTTTCCTTGAGTCTCTGTCCCTGCAAATTTCCATTCCAAGAATTTTCTTTGCAGCACCTAAATCTTTCATATCAAATTCCTGACTCAATAAAGTTTTCAAACCGATAACATCATTCATGTTCTTCGCAGCAATCAACATATCATCAACATACAGTAATAGAAAAATAAAAGAACCATCATCAAGGCTCTTAACATAGACACAACAATCATACTCACATCGGTTGTAGCCAATCTTGATCATATAGGAGTCAAACCGTTTATACCACTGTCTCAGAGACTGTTTTAACCCGTACAAAGATTTCTTCAATCTGTAAACTAAATGCTCGTTTCCAGGTTGAGTGAAGCCTTCAGGTTGCCGCATGTAGATCTGCTCCTCTAAATCACCATGCAAAAAAGCAGTTTTAACATCCATCTGCTCTAAATGCAAATCCCAACTAGCCACCAATGCAAGTACTGCTCGGATTGAAGTGTGCCTGACCACAGGAGAAAAGATTTCATCATAATCAACTCCTTTCTGCTGTGAAAAACCCTTTGCTACCAAACAAGCCTTGAACTTCTCCCCCTCTTTTTCTGTTACTGCTGGTTTCTTCTTATACACCCATTTGCAACCAATCGGCTTCTTACCCTCAGGAAGGGGAACTAACTCCCATGTGCGATTGTGATTCAAAGACTCCATCTCCTCAACCATGGCTGCCATCCACTTGTCGTTTTCCTGACTAGTAACGACATCATGAAAAGTAACTGGATCATCACTGCTAACAGTAAGTGCAAAAGATACCAAGTCTTCAAAACCCAATCTGTTCGGAGGCTTTATATTCGTCCGTCTCACCCTGTCTCTGGCGAGACTATAATCCTGCAAATCATTCGTAGTGGAACCACCAGAAGTCGGTTGAGAAGTTTCTGGTTTCTCAACTGGAAACTGCTCGAAATCTACCACTGTCGTGTCTTGCTTCTGCTGCAACATAGACTGTTCATCAAAAACGACATCTCTACTAATCACAACTTTCTTCGCAACTGGATCCCAGAACTTGAATCCTTTGACACCTTTCTTGTAACCCAGAAAAATACACTCCTTCGATTTTGCATCAAGTTTGGATCTCTCATCAGCAGGTACATGCACATAAGCAGGACAACCAAAAATCCGTAAGTTATCAAAACTAACATCATGACCAGTCCATACCTCTTCTGCAACTTTCCCAGCCAGCGATGCCCTTGGCGATCTGTTGATAAGGTAACACGCCATGTTAACAGCCTCAGCCCAGAAGCGTTTGGGAAGCCCCGCATTCAACCGCAAACATCTGGCTCTTTCATTCAACGACCTGTTCATTCGTTCCGCAACACCATTCTGTTGTGGTGTCTTGCGCACTGTAAAATGCCTCTTAATCCCATGCTCCTTACAGAATTGTAGGAACTGTGAATCTGTGTACTCCGTACCATTGTCAGACCGCAAACACTTGATTTTTCGTCCTGTTTGGTTTTCTACCTCAGCTTTCCACAGCTTGAACTTCTCAAAAACTTCATATTTATGTTTCAAAAAATACACCCAAACTTTCCGTGAAAAATCATCAATAAAAGTAACATAGTACCTAGATCCACCCAAAGACGATGTCGTGGAAGGCCCCCATACATCAGAATGCACATAATCAAGAATCCCTTTAGTTGTGTGCTTCGCAGTCTTGACACGGACTTTAGTCTGTTTACCAAGAACACAATACTTGCAAAAATCGAGCTTACAGCTTTTGACACCATGCAACAAGTTTCTCTTGTGTAATTCTGCCATACCACGTTCACTAAGATGAGCAAGGCGCATATGCCACAATTTTGTCGTATCATCACAGGACTCAACAGAGTGAACTCCACCTGCAACGGTACTCCCTAACAATCTGTAGATATTCCCTGCAGTCATCTTGCCTTCATCACAGTCAATGCTCCTTTAACAATCCGAATGGTTTCCCTATCCTCGTCAGCCTTAGGGATAAAACCATTCTTGTGCAAAGTGCCCAAGGAAATCAAATTCTTCTTCAAGTCTGGGATATGTCGAACACCACTCAACGTCCGAACGGAGCCATCGTGCATCTTAATTCTGACATCACCAATACCAACAATATTGCAACATCGATCATCACCCAAATAAACCGAACCAGAATTAATCGGCCTGTATGTCGAAAACCATTCCCTATTTGGCGTGATGTGATAAGAACATCCAGAATCAAGAATCCAAGCATCCGTCAATTGTGTCGTTGAAATAGAAAGCATATCACCCTCACTGCAATCAGAAGTATCATCCTCGACCACGTTCACAGACTTGGATGAGCCATCACGCTTCTCATCAGTCTGTTTTTCAACTTCGGACAGTCTCGCTTCATATGTCCCGCCTCCTTGCACTTGTAACAGTGAATCGTCTTCTTATCCCTGGATTTGGATCTGGAATTCCGCTTCCCGGACCCTACATTCTCTGGCTTCCGTCCACGATCTCGATTACCCTTGACATATAAGCTATCGGCTTGAGAGCTTTCCCCTGCATTCTGCTTCCGCTGGTTGTGAGCCAACAAGGCTGCAGTAATCTCCTCAACGTTGATAGTCTCTTTCCCATATGTAAGAGTAGTCACCATGTGTTCGTAAGAGGAAGGCAACGAACACAACAGAATCATCGCTCTGTCTTCATCCTCAATTTTCACATCAAGCCGAGCCAGATCAGAAACGATTTGATTGAAGACATTCACGTGTTGCGCCAAATCGTGATCGTCCTGCATCTTCAGCCCATACAGCCGCTGCTTCAGATACAGTTTTGTCGTTAAGGATTTGGACATAAACTGACTTTCCAACTTCCTCCAAATTTCGTCTGGAGACGATAGATGCATGACGTGATACATGACCTCGTCCGCCAAGCATAATCGTATGGTTCCTGCCGCTCGCTGCTGCAATTCTTCCCAATCTTCCTCATCCATCGACGCCGGCTTTGTAGGTCGTAAAGCCTTCAAGATCCCTTGCTGCGCCAATAGATCCTTCACCCTCGTTTGCCATAATCCGAAGTTACCCTGACCATCG